CTAAAACTTGGAAACAGCCCAAATGCCCATCAATTGGAGACTGGATCAAGAAAATGTGGTTTTTTTCTAAAATGGAGCACTACTTAGCCACCAAATATGATCAATTAGGGACATTTATTGCTAAATGGATGCACATTTATTTCTTAAGTGAAATAAATAGGACACACATGTGTAAATACTGGTTTCTCTAGTGTGAGAAAATGAAAGTGTAAATAAGGACTAAAAGGTATAATAGATAATGTGAAATAGGAAGAAAAGGAGCAAAGGGGAAGGGGGAGGGGGAGGGGAAAGAAAAGAAGAGAATGGAATTAATATGAGAAAATGAAAAATGGAAACAAAGTCTTTGTAAATAGGGAGGGATGGAGGGGTTGAAAGGAGGGCAGGGGAATGGGAAAAAGATAAGCACCAAGAGAGTATGTAAAGGTGCAAATTTCCAATGATGAATGTCATTATATTGTATACCTAAAATGCTCCAATAAAATTAATTTAATTTTTTTTAAACCATTCACTCTCTGGTGACTGAAATGCTACTCTTCCTACGTCATTGTGAGATCCCACCTTGGACACTTCTTCCACCCACGAATTAATCATTGGGTTCCCTGTGTCTCAGTTCTTATGCTATTGCTTTTTGCACTCCACCCAATGTCTTTGCACAATAGCATCCACTAAGGAAATTTTTACTGACTCCTACATGCTGATAACTCCCAAATCTATACCTCTAGTCTGGAATTTCTTCCTGAACATGAGATTTGCATAGGCAACTGCATGCTAGACATCTTCATTGGGATTTGCCATAGGTGCCTCAAACTAGACCTGTTAGAAACTTAACTCATCACCTCCACCCTGGACCTAACTCTGCTCCTCCTGTGATCTCCGCCTTAGTCAAAAGCACCACCATCCACCTGTCTAAGTAAGCAGGACACCTGGAGTCATCACTGGCTCCACCCTCTCTTCAGCAATCTACCTCTAAGGCCTACTCTTTTCATTGTCTTTTCTTTTTAAATCTCTCCTATACCTGACAACTATTTTGTGTTAACTTATCACTTATCTGAACTATTATCACAGCCTCCTAATTGGACCCCTGGTTCCAGAATTTTCCATGCTCACATCCATTCCCCAATGTAGCCGCTGAAACAATGTCTACACTCAGATCTTGCCATTTAACTCTCCTGTTTGCCTATGTATACAGTTCAAAATTCTTGGCATGACCTACTAGGCCTCCCATGACTTGGCCCCTATTCATTTGCCAGCATCAGAACCTGTCACTCTGTCTTGTATATTTATTTCCTGTTAGTCAGTTGCTGTTCACACCATGCTGTTTCTCACCTGCATACTTCTCTCCTCCAGAAACATCCACACCCACCCTCCTCCATCCTTCAAAACAGCTCATCTACCATTTACCCCAAAGAGCACTGTTGCCTTTGTACTCCTGAAGCATCCTCTGCTTCCCTCTACCTTAGCATTTACCCATTGTTCTGCAATTATCTGTTGATGAACTACCTTCTAACACCAAACCAAAAGCTATTCCAAAGGAAGGATCAGCTATGGTCTTTGTGCCCTTCCTCCCCTCAGACACATATTATGCCCTCAAAAAAATCCTGGAATTGATTAATTCTCACAACAGGGGTATAAGGCAGCTACTGCAGATTAAAACAACTGAGTCTCAGCAGGTCACATGCTGGAAGGTGGGACAGCAGTGACTTGAAACTAATTCTTACTCCCAAGCTCTTTCAAGTACCGGTTGGAGAACATGAGCCAAGCACAGAGATGGAGGTGAGAAAGAGATGTCAGGGCCTCATCCCAGGAAGATGATCTGTGCAAAGAATCTAGAGAAATGAAGGTCAGCAGAATTTTAAAGGGGTGAGAGGACAAAGACTGTGGACTTGTGGCCTTGGCATTGTTAGTTCTAAACAGTGCCTATCCACTAGCTAAATCTAGATGCTGGGTCTGAGATGGCCAATATCCCCACAAATACTTGCACCTCTGCTTTACAGCCACCTCAGGGGGTCCTTCTGAGCAAGCTGGTATCACTTCTCTTGGGCACAAACTTCCAGGAGATTCCTGGTATACAGATCAAGACAGGGAATATACAGATGATATTAGAAGATAAATGAATATGGACAAGAGCCACAATGTCTTTTAGTCTCTCCTGGGAGGAGCCTGTCCCTCTTCCACTCACCTTCCAGCACCCTTTCCCTATAACCAAAACCCAGAAGAGAGCCAACAGAGGGGTCAAAAGGCAGAGGTATAAGACAAGTCCAGGCTGAGGCAGGGCCAGGAATCCACGGAATGAAGGGAATGTTCTGAGATCGCAGCAAGAGAGGGGGACTGATAGACAAGCTAAGGCCACCCACACCTATGTGTATCAGAGCACAGCCCTCCCCTGCACACTGCTCTCCAGAGCTCCTAAACTGGAAGATGATTGCATCTGGACCGGGAAGACCAAAGAACAAAGAGTTGGAATGGTTTCAGTTAAAACTAAAAATACCATCTTGTGTTTACAAAACACAGGAGAGGCCGCAAAGGTGTAAACCACAAAAGATAAAGATAGGATGCCCTTGGCTGGTAAACCCCACGTCAAACAGAGGTGAGAGCCAGAATGACCTCATTTGCAGGGAAACTGGCAGGAATTCAGAGTAAGAGCACCCTTCCCTCTACCTGTACTTGAATCTCCAGGGGCCAAACCAACCTATCACCTTGCCAAAAGGTTCTAGGAATAGAAGAGCTCATATCCTGCCTAGGGAAGGGGGCTGGAGCAGAAGACTGTTGGAGCCTGCAAGGAGGCTTAGCCCTACTTATATTCTTCACTCTATAGTGAAAATTTCAGGCACCAGCTCCCCACCTTGTTTCTGCTCTGCAGACTGAGATAAGGGCCTTTCAGTTACAAAGTTTCACAAGAAAATGGAATTTGTTGTCCTCCTTTTCCACTTCCCCTTAGCCAGCACAGCTGGATGGAAGATTCATTACCAGCTGGGCAGGCCTCATCCTGGTGCCCAGGTCAAGCACATGGAGCCCTGACTCACCTTGCATTGCTCAAGGAGGGACAAAGCCTGGGAAACAGAGTTCCCCTCTGGAGGAGGTGTGGGTAGCTCTCAGACACAGCCTCAGTGGCATGTCTCCAGTAATAATAATAAGGAAAATAAGCAGGTATTGATTGCTTTCTCTGGGAAAGACATTCTGTTTTGCTTGTATTCTCTCCATAAAAGCTCCCAACAACCTTTTGGGGTGTGTGCCATCATTATTTTATGGATGAGGAAAAAAGGGTAGTTCACAACATTGGTTGGAGGTCATGTAGGTGGCAAATGGAGAGGCAGGAAAACAACACAGGTCTTTCTTCTCAACTTCACAGATCCAGCTGTCACCCACCATTCAAATGAACCATCTTTCTTGCCCCTACACACACCCTCCTTCCCATTGTATGGACTATGACGTTTCCCTTCCAATGGCTGCTCAAATTGTCTAAACACTGTAAGTTTTTCAGGGGGGTGTAAGAAAGGTAAGGTAAGAAATCACTTTTAATGATGCTTTGAGAGTGATGTTAAGAACATAAATGCTGACAAAGAGTTCCCGTTATGCCTGAACCAAATCACTTTCTGCTTTTGTAATGAGATGTGATGAGCTAGTGGGATCCCATAGCCCATAAGGTTTGGGTTCAAATTCCAGCTCAAAGCTCAAAACTATTCTTTGTTAAAAGGTAAAGTAGAAATAAACACTTATGTTTACATTGCAACACCTTTATGTACTAGTTTTTGGTCAATACACTCAATATCACCAAGTCTCAGTTTCAGCAAAATGGGGATGGAAAGTTCCTAGCTCATAGCGTAGCTCTGAGGTCTAAATACTCTGGGTCAGAGCCAGGCATGTTGGCATATGCTTGTAATCCCAGCACTGGGCAGGTTGAGGCAAGAAAATCATGAGTTGGAGTTGGCTGCATAGTGAGTTCAAGGCTAGCCTAGACTGCAGGGCTAACCCTATCTCATAAAAACAAAACAAGATTAAAAAAACACACAAAGATGAAAGCAAAAATCTAGCAAATTTTTGCTCAAGACATCTCAAAAATAGTCATTTCTTTACCTTTCCCAACTTGTTACCAGGCCCTTGAGAGCAGCATGCTGATCAGATTCATTCTTCTTTTCCCTAAACCACTTAGTAGAGCAGTTTTCAACTCTGGAAGCACCTGAGAAGATTGTTGAGCTTCATCAAAAGGTGAAGAACTGAAATGAATAGACTCTTCTCAGGAGAAGTGCAATGGCCAATAAATACATGTAAAAAACAATCTTCAACATCACTGACCATCAGAGATATGCAAAGTTATTGAAACTTGAGATATTGAAACAACAATATTCTATCTTACTCCAGAAAGAATGACTGTCATCAAAAAATCAATCGATAACAAATACAGGTGAAGCTGCAGAGTGGGGAGGATGTTGGTGGGACTGTAAACTAGTAGAACCACTGTGGAAATCAGTATGGAGATTCCTCAAAAAACTAAAATTAGAAATGCTATTTGTCCCAGCTGTTCCCCTTCTAGGTATCTTCCCAAAAGAGTTAAAGACATCATATAACAGTGATATATGTATGTCGATGTTTATAGCAGCACAATTCATAATACATAGCTAAATCATGGAAATAGCCTAGATGTCCAACAACAGATGAATAAAGAAAATGTGGTATTTATATACAATGGAGTACTATTCTGCCATAAAGAAGGATAAACTTGAGTCATTTGTAGGAAAATGGATGCACCTTGAGACCATAATGTTATGTGAAATAAATCAGACTCACAAGCTTAAATACTACATGGTCTCTCTTATATGAGAAACCCAAAGTATAAATAAAGAGCAAAATAAAAGATAGATAATAGGAAGTAGGGAGACAACTTTTATTCAAAAGGGAAAAAGATCAAGAGATGGAGGGAAGGGAAAGGGAAAGGAAGGAAAAATGATTTTTTAAATTAAGATATGTTACGAACATGTGCCAACTCCCCACAAGAAATGTAATTATTATGTAGTGCAAATATGTACTAATAAAAAATAAAAATTTTTTTAAAAAGAAATATTGACATCAAGGGCTGCACGTAGGGCCAGGGATTTAGCTCAGTGGTTCCGACACCTGCCTCCCAAGGTCTGCACACTAAGTCATAATCTCTGGCTTGAGAGGATGTGTTGTAACTGTTTAAATATTTATTTATAATAAGGTGAAATATTATCTTTTGTATAATTTTATTGAAGCCAAAAATTTGATAACATATTTGTATTCTTTTTTTTTTTTTTTTTTTTGGCATTGGGGATTGAACTCAGGACCTTGCGCTTGCAAGGCAGGTGGCGGCACCACTAAGCTAAATCCCTGGCCCTATTTGTATTAATTCTTAAGTAATATTATATTATCAGGCCAGGGATTTAGCTCAGTGGTTCCACCGCCTGCCTCACAAGCGCAAGGTCCCAAGTTTGATCCCCAGTACCAAATATATATATATGTATATATACATATGTTATATTATCAATACACCATAAATAACTGAAGCAAAACAATGTATCTCCAAAGGGCATCTATTATGTTAAGACAAGTATATCTAATTAGAAGTTTAAAATTTTAATTTCAATGATCATTCAAAAATACATTTTACATGTTACAAAAAAACTAATCTTTGAAGTGCCAATCCTCAACTGAGGGTCATGTTCATAGAACATGACTTTTTTTTTTTTGGTACCAGGGATTGAACTCAGGACCTTGCGCTTGTGAGGCAGGCAGCAGAACCACTGAGCTAAATCCCCAGCCCTGTAGAATATGACTTTTCATTTATTAAGTCTGTGTTTCTCAACATCTAAGGAAAGAGTGCTACAAATAATTCTGAAATGAATTAACAATAACAAATTATGTAACAAAATTGCATTCCATAAGAGGCTAGAAATAGAGCCTATTTGTTATCAGGAAAGTAGATTATATCATTTGTTTTTATTTATAGGAAAGATAAGTGGTTATAGTGTACAATAATGATATTTAAATGCTATTATGTAGTATCAAATCAGTACAAGAGAAAAATCACAGTTCACCATTAGATTTAAGGCATTTAAATGTATTAAAGTATCTTCCTGTGATTCAATTAAATTGAAACCATCTTTAAAAAAGAAGAATCCAAAAATAATAAATAAATGAAAAATAAAAATGAAGAATGCGACTAGATTCGGGGGTGGTTTCCAGTAGCCTTGTTGTGAGAATTAGGTCACCTCGGAAGTGTACATGACAGCAGCACCTCCTCATCAACCATATGGAAGCAGTGACTGTCTTCTCCTCCCAGGGCCCACAGCAGTGCCAGACACAGAGAGACACTCTCCGAACATTTCAGAGATGATGAAGCCCATCTTTCTCTTATGATTTATTCTTTCTGCCTTTCTTTTCCCTATGTCCTTAATTTTTACTTTTTAAATCTTGTATTTCTGTAAGACACTTTAAACCTTACTTAAATAAGGTAGGGTATTAGAAAATCAATAGACTTTTCAAGAATGGAACACAGAGGAAGTCTGGGAGATATATATTTCCTTGCCTTTGCCCCCAAGAGGGTATCTCTAGCACATCCTTATCAGACCACTAGGCTAACCCACAGCTCATCCTGGGAGTTCCAATTCAGGCCACATCTATGAAACTGTCTCGTATTTTTTCACTAAGGAATTCTTTGGTTAAATACTACACCTTTCAAAGAAATTTCAAAGCACAGCTAAATAGAAACTAAGAAGAGCCCCACATTTACAGAAGCTGGCCGGGGCTTGCTTAGCTGTCTCTGGGGCCCCCCCGCAGCGGCTTTCCCTCAGGCAGAGTTCTGGCCTCTCAGGGAGAAAGTCTGCCTCCTCCGTGCTGGGGAGGCCTGTCCTCCGTCCTCTCCTGTTTGGGGATAGGAAGCACTGACCCCTGAGTTCTCTTTTTGTCTCATTTCACTTCCTCACTCACCAACCACTAAGTGCAACACTTCAATTTCTGTCCAAAAATGAATGAAATCAATTTCTGATTCCAGGGGGACTTGGGATTCTAGCATTGGGAGAAGGATCTTGAACACCATTTCCTGAGACACAACCTTTCAGCTCCTACTTAACTTCCATCCATCCCTGCTTTTTTGCCACCATGACATGGGCATTTCTGGAAGTTAAGATGCACAGTAAATCTTTTAAATCTCTGGTTTTCAGACTTTGGCTATCACAGACCTAGATAGGGTAGTACCTTTTCCTTTTAACAAATAAAGACATTAAAAAATAAACAGTTGAAAGGGGGAAATCTACAAAGACCATCATTTCACTTAAAAGGCCATTCTTAAAAAATGTCAAAAACGCCACCTGCCTCCCAAGCGAAGGACTCGAGTTCGATCCCCTCTACCAAAAAAAAAGAAAAAAAAGAATTCTCCCTAGGAAATACCAGTTAGCACTTCGGGGTTGGGGATTTAGCTCAGTGGTTTTGCTGCCTGCTGCGTAAGCGCAAGGACACGAGTTCGATCTCCGGTCCCCCCCCAAAAAAATGTCAAAAAGCTGTAATGTCAGAATAAAAGGTAGGCTTCTAAACTGAATAAATTTTGCTTTCGTTTTAAAATTCTCACATTTTACCCTTGTTCTTCTCATTCCATGAAGACAAGTGAACAATTTTTCAAGCTTGTTACCATTCTGGAGTTTGGAGGCAACTGATTCTAAAGCGTCCCCTAAGGCAGTGTGTCCTTTAGCAGCTCACTCAACCCCCACCCTAGTGCCCTGGCTAATGATGCAAACGTGATAATGTGAGTGGAGCATCGTGCAGAGCCCACTGTGCCCTTGACACACAACTCAAGATTCAATGAAGGCACAGATGTGACTGACAAAAAGACTTGAGCAAAGATATAACAATTAATTAATTACTGCAATAGTAAACAAATAGACTGGGCAAGAGTCGCAGATGAACTACAAAGTGACAGGTTCCCTGAGTCAGACTCCCACTCAAGCAGACCCACTACCCGAATCCACAGGAGCACAGAGATAACAGGAAGCCAGCAGCCACCCTGCTGCTCCTACCACCACCCTGTTTATCAACCAGCCCCAGGCCCATCATCCATGGGACTCTAAGATTTTCCACCCTCTCAACCAGTGCCCTCTCCCCTACCTAAACTCCCCCATATCAACCAAATGCACCCTCCCCTCAGTGCCAACGGCCTTTTCACCCTTGGCCCATAAGTGGCAATAAACTCCTCGAATGCTGCTTACATTTTGCCTGCCTCAGTGGTCTCAATAGTGCCTCAGTCTGACCTTACACAAAGGATACACATGCTAATTAAAATAAAAATGTACAGTGTCTTGGTTACATCTGGATGTAAAATGAGAAGTAGACCAAACGTATTGACTAGAGAGCAGAGCTGTACAGAGAAAAACCCAGCTTCGAAGAATGAGGCCAAGGTCTAGTCCTGTCTTTGCAACTGCAGTAAGTACTTCTGATACCATGGGATAGATCCAACAGATATACAGAATCATGTGCAAGGTGAGCAAAGAATCACAAGCATACATCCAATGGTGAAAGAAAAGCAGCTACATTTCTTGATGATAACAGGAAAACATGCTCAGGGCAGATCCATGCCAGCAGAAACAAAAATGTGGCATAAACACAAAAGTAATGCCAGGACAACAGGGAAAGCAAAAAAAGCACACAGCTAAAATCAGGCTTTTGGATTTCTGGGGAGGTGCACTCCAGCCTGGGTGCCTCTTATTGGGTTTCTAGGTGAGATAGACAGGCATGATTAACAGAGTGCTGAGTCATCTGAGTTAGGGACCCAACATGACACAAATGGGGCAAAGGCTTTTAACAGCCTTTAACAACCTCCGACTCTATTTAACCTTCCTGGGCCTCAGTTGTCTTACTCATGTTATGGAGGTAATAATACTAACCCTACAGGATCATGTCAAGATTTAAAGGAAATAATGTAACCCTCAAGTGGCCAGTTTTTGAAGAAATGCTAAACTGTTTTCCAAAGAGTCTACATCATTCTACATTTCCACCAGTAATGTATGAGTGTTCCAGTGTCTCCATAACCTTGCCAACACTTGCTATTATGTGTCATTTGATGATAGTCATGATTGTGTCTCTAAAGTGGTTTCTCAATGTAATGTTCATTTGCATTTTCCTAATGACTAATGATGTTAAACATCTGTTTGTGCACTTATTGGTCATTGATATATCCACTTGGAGAAAGTATTGAAAACTCTTTGCCCATTTAATTAGGATATTTATGTTTTATTGTTGAGCTGCAAATGTCCTTCTGTATTTTGAATAGGAGGTCCTTATCATACATCACTTGCAAATGTTTTCTCCCATTATGTAGGTAGTCTTTTCACTTTCTTCATAGTACTCTTTGAAGAACAAAAGCTTTTAGTTTTTATGAAGATTTAGTTTACCTTTTTTTTTCTATAGGCATCATATCTAATAAACCATTGCCTAAACAAAGGTCATAATGATTTATACCTATTTTTTAAAGAGTTTTATAGTTTTATATTTAGGCCCCTGATCCATCTGGAATATTTTTTTGTTTTTGTTTTTGTTTTCAGTACTGGGGATGGAACCCAGGACCTTGCTACTAAGCTATATTCCCAGCCCTTTTTTATCTCTTATTTTGAGACAAAGTCTAAGTCACTAAGATCCCCCCTCCCTGCCCCACGAGCTGATCTCAAACTTGCAATCCTCCTGCCTGAGGCTCCCAGCATGCTGGGATTACAGCTGTACACCACCGCACCTAGCTTGGAGTTAACTTTTGTATATGGTTTGAGGTAGGTGTACAACTTCATCCTTTTACATATAGATATCTAGTTGTCCCAAAACTAGTTGTTTAAAACATTATTCTCTCCCTCATTGAGTTGTCTTGGTCCCTTTTCAAAAATCAGTTGGTCATATGTATATGGATTTACTTCTGAACTCTTTATTCTATTCTACTGATATATACATCTATACTTATGCTACTACCACACTGTCTTGATTACTGTAGCTTTGTAGTATTGTTTTAAAATTGAGAAGTGAGTATTCCAACTTAGTTGCATTTTTCTAAGATCATTTTGGCTATTTTGAGTCCCTTGCTGTAGTTTTGGTATACAAGTCTTTTCTTTTTTTTCTTTTTTTTTTGAGACAGTGTCTCATTATGAAGTTCAGGCTGGGCTTAAACTCACTATGTAGCCCAGGCTGGCCTCGAACTGATGGTGATCCTCCTGCCTTAGCCTCCCAAATGCTGAAATTACAGGTGTGCACCACCATGCCTGGCTGTATACAATTCTTAATTTAAATGAGCCAACTTAAAGTTTGACAGTTTCTCCTATCAGTTCAAATCTGCTATTGAATATTTCTGATTTTTCTTTTTAATTTCAGTTATTGGTATTTTTAACTGCAGAATTTCTTCTCCCCTCCCCTCTCTCCTCTCTCTCTCTCTCATCCTTGTGCAAGAGTGTGTGTGTGTGTGTGTGTCTGTGTGTGTGTCTGTGTGTGTTACTAGGGACTGAATCCAAGGCCTTTGTATTGAACTACATCCCCCAGCCCTTTTCATTTTTTATTTTCAGACACTGTCTCACTAAGTTGATAACTTGCCCAGACTGGGCTCAAACTTGCCATCTTGCTGCCTCAGTTTCCCAGAGTCCTGGAATTACAGATGCTTATTACCAGACCTGCCTTCATAGTGGTTGTACCAGTCTACTCTCCCACCAACAGTGGAGAAGATTTGTTATTGGTTAATTTCTTGATGATAGCCGTCCTTTCTGGAGTGAGATGGAATCTCAACGTTGTTTTAATTTCTCAAATGACTGTCAAATGTATTTTTGCATGTCAAATATGTACTTTTATATGTGTTTCGTATGTCATATATATAGATTATGGCATAATATATGACATGCATATGGGTATGTGGTTTTTGGTTGTTTTATGGCTTTTTGGAATTTGTTTCTTTGGGGTTTTTTGTAGTGTTGAGTATTGAATCCAGGGCTTCCTGCATGCTAGGCACGTACTCTACTTCTGACCTACACTGCCCCCTAGGCCCATTTTATATTTTTATGTTGAAAATTGAACATTTAAAAAATGTAATGACAACTCCAGACAGCAGGTTCCCCTCCTCTCCCTGGGCTTGTTATTGTTGCTGTTTGTTATCATTGTTTTGTCATTGTTATTACTGCTGCTGCTACTTGTCTGTTGTATGGCTTTCCTGAATTAATTTTGTAAAGTCTGTATTCTTTATCATATGTGGCTTCTGTTCAGTTAATTTAGTGATCAACTAATGAATAGGCAGAAATTTCCTTACATGTCCTAAACCAGTAAATCTCCCAGCCTTTGCTAAGTGCTTCTTTGTGTGCATTTTAGGTTGTGGTTTCATCAGTCAGGTAGGCAGTTTACAACTATGACTTAACCTCCACTTCCTGGTTGTGCAGAGCCTCCAAAATCAAAGGTGAGAAATTATGGTTTTCTTGGGTCTTTCCTGAGCATGTGTGTAGCTCTGCTCATACATACATACGGCTTTCTAGATTCCCAGGAATTTGTGTAAGTTTTTCAATCTTCTACAGACATTTCATATGCCAGTTTTTTCTTTTGATTTTTTTTTCCTTTTGGTTTTTTTGAGATGGGGGTCTCACTATGTAGTTCAGACTGGCCTTGAACTCACAGTTCATCCTCCCTCAGCCTCCTGAGTGCTGGAATTACTGGTATAGGCCACTGTACCTGGATTTTCTTTTGATTTTTAACTCAGCCTTTGTTAGTCCCAGCTGGAATTACTGCTTTAGGAATCTGCAATGTTTAAAATTTCCCCAATTGGGGGAGGGGGGGCCAAATGCCCCAGCAATAAGGCTATTTGCACAGAGAAAACTCTGAGTCTGGTCAAATAAAACCAAGCTCTGAAAATGAAGCTTTAAGGACAACTTCCAAACAGGTCACACTGTGACAGATGCCTGAGGGTGAGGTTTTTTTGGAAAATGCCAAACCAATGTTGTCTCCTTATACTGGCTGACAGTTTCCTGGGCTTCACAGCTAGCACAGCTGCAAGTTGTTCCGTTTCTGAGGCTACCATGGAGATGGGGGAGGGGTAGTACGAGGCAAGTGGAAAGGTCACAATGTTCAATCTTTTCAGTGCTATTCAACAATTTTTCTGAAGTAAATGTTTCCAGATTGTTGTAACCCTCTGGTTAATTTCCAGTGTTCTGAAAAGATTTATTTTGACCATTTTTGCCAGTGTTCTTGTTGCTTTTTATGTAGGAGTGGAGTTTTCACTCCCTGTAAGTGCTTCTCTTGGAGGAGCACTCCTACATATTACTTTGATTAAATCCTACATTTTTTGTTTGTTTTCTTTCTACTCACAAAGCAGCATACTTCTTTTTTTTTTCTCCGTAAGTAAATTACAAAATTCAAAGGGAAGATATGAAAAAAACTATTTTCTAATTTTTACAAGTTTCCTTGTTACTGCAGTGCTATGTACAAGGTGGACCTACACTGTTTCTGTCCAAAGAAATCACTATAAATCCAAATGCAGTCTTTCTAGGTCTATGCTAGTCATGAAACAATAAGGCTGGCGACATTTGATTAAGGAGAATAGGAAGAACATATATAATATTCCAAGAAAAGAAGGCTTCTATGCCTGAGTTTCCTACAAAGAAAAGAACAGAGCTTCAAAACAGAGCGGGTGATAATTATTCAACCTTAATTTCACTTTGGCTGGTACTTACCATGTCTCAACAGCTTTCTTCAAATAGCAAATGTTGAGATGAATGATATGCAAAATAAAATCATCATCTGTATATTCCCCAAACTGAAATTGGTAGAGGATCGTCAGTGACAGGTGACTAGTGACTGATGACTCATTCTTGGTGGGTGTCTTGGCCAGTTTCAGAAGGCACTGTGTTTTCAGGAGGGGCGGGAAGAAGATTTGCATGTCTGACCTCACGCAGAAGCTCCAGCTGCAGAGCATATAAAGTGAAGGAGAGTCGTGAGTCATCAGTCTTACCAGTGTTAGACTCAGCACTTTCCAGACACCTCAAGACAATGGCAGGCCTCCACTCCACGTTTCTACCACTGGGGCTATTTCTGTACCTTGGACTACCCTTTTCTTCTGCCAACTTTTCAAATTTCAGCGACAACTGTATGGTCTTTGCAGAGGTCTTCACCGCCCAAAACCCAGGAATCGAGATCAAGACAGAAGTTTTTCAGGGCAACACAATATACACAAGTGAGTAAAAGCCATTCTTTCTGCTGTCTTTTGATCTCTGGAAGATGTTAACCAGACTTTCAGAATATACCCCTCCTCAGTTCCCTCTCTCAGTTCCACAGAATGTGTTTTTGAACCAGATGGGAGGTGGGGAAAGAAAGAGAAAGGAAAAGATGTATGAGATTGGATTGAAGGGAGTATTTTTTTTATATTCCCTGTCCAAATCTGAGCCACAGCAGGCATAAAGTGGTAATACCCAGATGAAGTGAACCCCAGCAAGAGCACACCTGGACCATATTCTCTGACTTCAGTAAAGTGAGATGATAATTGCACTACATTATATAGTCCTTCAATCTACTGACAAAACTGTGCCATGTAAGTGGCTGTGTACTGCACAACTCCAGGAGGTACTATTTGCATTTTTTTCTATGAATGAAAAATCCCCTGACATAGAGAGTAGGGAAAACCTTAGGTGTGAGGAACCTGAAGCCAAGAAAAGTTAAACAACTTACTTAGGGTCTTACTGCTAGTAAGTGGCAGAACCAGCTCTTTTCATTCTTAATCCAAAGCTTTTCTTAGGAATATCTAGAAAGCATTTTATAAATATGGCTTTTGGATCAGCCAAACCTACAAGCCAAGGAATATGCTTTCTATTTAGTTTCATGACAGCAACATTTGCTTTATATGTATGAATGCATTTAGTCTTCATAATGACCTTCCAGTAGATCTCATTATCATTCTCACTTTGTAGATGTGCAAGTAGAGGCACAAGTGCTAGGTGAATTATACAGGTCACAAAGCCACTGCATTGCTGAACTGAGACATGAACCAGCATTCCAGTTTCAGTGACCTTTCCCTCACAGCACAACTCTCATTAATAAGTAATAATGAGAGCCAACAGTTCCTATTATATCCTAGGTACTGTTCTGGGGTGAATGCTATTATCTTTCCTTTTTACAGGAAAGAACTGAGGCACAGGAAAGTTAAAAATTTACTCAAGGTCATCAGACTCTAACAGAGCTAATATCTGAAGCAAAATAACAGCCAAGATTTGTCCAGCTTCAGATCCTGTCTTCTTAAAAGACTAACCAAATTTTGCAGAGACTACCAGGGTGACAGTCACACTCAGGGTCTACAGATTCCCAAATTTAGCAAGTGAACAACCTGGCATGCCTCCACACATCCTGGCTTTTCTTTCTATTTTGCGGGGGGACTGTTACTAAGTGCTTCTGTTGTGACAGCGCTATGTCCCACTCCCTCAGGCAGTGGATCTTGTTCTACCAGAGCAGGGAGGATAATCTTGTAATTCAAGAAAAGTATCATATCTATATATACACACACATACATACACACACACACACACACACACAGACCTGGGGAATCACAAGCATTACTGCACAAAACATTATAGGTCTCTGATGTAAGATAACATGTCATTAGATGAAGAATTTTGCTATTGAAATGGGAGAAAGAAAAGTCTGTTGTGTGAAGATACCATGGAGATATGGGAGCCTTCTGAAAGGAGGGAGTCAAGAGAAGGAAGACACAAGACGATCCAATAGGGTAAAAGAATGATCACAGCAGTTACAGAGGTGCCAGATGGAGCCAGAAAAAGGGGAAAAAGGAAAAGAATTCAGGTTCCTTGAATGCCTACACATACTATGCACTTTGTCAGGCTCCCTCTCAGGACAGAAATGTGCAAGAGCTCTGTGTTCTCTCACAATAGGAATGCTTTAAGGTGAGGGTCAAAATCCTCAGCCCTCAGGGATGAGAAGAGCCAGATTCCTCACCTATAATACATAGCAGACTCCATGATTGCCTTACAGAGTGTCATTGCCAGGGCTCAAAACCTCTGGGGACACCAAGCCAATGCTCGCCCAGGCTAATACCTTTCCTTATTTTGGTTTTGAAAATCTTTTACATCTCACATTGTGTCAACATTGAATGGCTTGGGAGATCCCAACAGATAACAGTAGCTCAGACAGTGTCTGACAACAGGTTCCCTGAGCCTGTTTTGATATCAAGGAAAGAAATCTTTAATGCAGTGATATTTACATTAAGACTGTGCTGGGTCAACTGCTTCCATTTTTTATTTTTGTGAGCAAGGGGAATGTAATTTGCCTGCCTTTCTTTCTGAACTAAGGTTTAAAGTATCACACCATATTGGATCTACAACTTTTTTAAATGGATCAGTACTTATTTTGTGCCCATCCAGTGCCATAGACTAACACAGGCAAAACCACAGGATATAATCAAGTGCTCAACTAAGTGTGAGAGGAAAAGTGGCCTCAACTGGTCCAGAGGAGAGCCATGAGCAGGATCTTGGAGTGAAACTAGAGATGGGATGTATAATGAGAAGGAAGGATTTCAGATAGGCAGCAAGTTATGAACAAAGACCAGGGGCAGGTATGAACCAAGCATGGGCCAGGTGTGGCCTCAGGACATTGAGAACAGGGGCAAACCAACTGCCCATAGAGCAGAGTGCAAGCAGAGTAAACCAAGGCTCTTAGAGTCCTAAACATCAAGTGCTGGACATTATTATTGATAGGACAGAGACAGAAATACTGTATAAGAGAGTAAATGTTTAGATGCTATAGAAGTAAGGATACTTGGAAGTCTTTGAACAGGAGTGTGTCCTGATGGATAAGTTGTATGAGGAAGTCTGGCCAGGACCACAGCAAGTCACAAGGCAGCCTGAGGGAAAAGAACTTCCAGAAATCCAGGGAATACAGGTGCCTAGGAGAGGAGCAAGGAGGGCTTACCTAAGAGCGAAAGGGAGAAAGCAGAAGGAACTGGTAAAGACACTTCCTTGAAGAGCTGACAGACTTGACGGCTGTCTGTGTGACATTGTCATGTGTCACCGCCACCACACTACGTTGCACAGATGTATGACAAATATCAGCTGTTCCCTGACCAAGTCCAACACTGAGCTTTGGGTCATCTGACCTTGATTGGCAAAGCAAACAACAGGCCAGAGAAGTATTGTGGGCTAAAAATCATTTAATAACAATTACAATTTATCTAATATCTATAGTGTATTAAAATTTTTATATTCTTCTCTTAATCTTCCCAGAAAACTTTCCAGATAGGTAACGTGACCCAGATGAGGGATAATGTCGTTACCCTTAGACCCAGAACCAAGACAGGTGTAAAGTGGGTATTCAGGACATGTGTGTGACTCCGCATGACGGTATTATAGGCAGCTAAGTTAGAGAGAAATTAATATACAGTCAGAGAAAGAGCGGACCCTCAAAGAAGTCAGCACGAAAAACAAAGACATCAGAATTGTGACTAGAGAGAAATCTGAAGAGCCAGGCCAGGCTTCAGGATAGAGATGCAAGAGCCAGGCCTGCAATAAATAACAATTTGAGGGCCGGGGATTTAGCTCAGTGGTTTCACTGCCTACCTCACAAGCGCAAGGTCCTGAGTTTGATCCCCAGTACCAAAAAAAAAAAAAAGAAAAAGAAAAAGAATTGAGTGCTTTGTTATAAATAGCAATTTGAGATTGGACTGTAATTATCACTCCTGGTCCTTGAGCCCAGATAGGCATCAGGTACATGGGTGGGTGACCAGAACATGTGGACCCATACTCCTCTCCCTTCCCAAAAATGCCTTTGATCTTTTCACATATCCTTGCTATGTGCCTCCTTTCTCTATTGGATCAATATTAGCTAAGCAGCCATTCTTGTACCCCTATAGGTTGATTGTAGTCTGACCCACAGTGTATTCATGTTGTGATTTTGCTGTATAAATTACCCCCTGGCAAAGGACCTTGGTGGTCACTCATTTGGGACCCCACTTGGAAATCCAGGGACTATTCTTCTTCCCTTTATTTTCAATAAAACTCTTCTGATTTCTTCCTTTAGTTCTCGACTTCATTCCTCCATGTTGTGAGACCATGAACTCAGCATGTTTGGCATCTAACAAGTAGAGTTATCTTTTTCCTACATCAACAGCACATGCTTGTAACCCCAACATTCTTCAAGGCTGAGGCAGGAGGATTGATTGAAAGTTTGAGCCCAGTATGGGGCACTTAGCAACTTAGCAAGACTCTCAAAATGAAAAATAAAAAGGGTTGGAAATGTAGTTCAGTGCAAAGGCCCTGGGTTCAATCCCCAGTACCACAATAAAAAGAAAGAAAAGGGAAAGGAAGGGAAGGGAAAGGAAGGAAAAAAAAAGTGTGGCATGAATGATGAACAGTAAGAAACAAGGATTAGAGGTGACACAACTTGCTCCTAAGTGTTAGAGGTAGAATTCAAATCCAGGACTGCCTCATGAGCCGATTGTGCTACATGATCCACTTTCTTTGCTTAGTGAAGGAGAAATCTTTGAAGGAATTTAAGGTGGTTGAGAAGCTTCCTGGAAAGAACAACGGCCTAACATTTTAGAATGTACTCACAAGGGACATCCTAAGGGAGGAAATAGACTAAAATACAGTATTGTCTTGAAATTCCTTCCCTATGACCCATCAGAATGCTGAAATTAACAAGAATTACAAGGTCCCCTGTAAATGCTTGCCAGGCTGGGTCAAGGGGGAGACTCATCTGAGTGGAAAATCATCTTAAAGGGTTATTTGACAGGTACTTGGATTAGGCCCCTGTGGCTCTAAACCCACCCCCCTCCTGCACCTTCCCACACTTTCAACAACAGAGACTAAGAATTCGCATTTCTGGGGCCAGGAGCAGGGCTTTGCTTTTACTTGGCAATAGTGTTCTCTTATAGTCACAGAACACTTCCCAGGAGCCCATCTGACCCTTCCACATGTCCCCACACTTGCCCTGACAGGAGGCCCAAACCAGGGCCAAGGATAGGTCTTTTGTCCATCTTTCACAGCAGAGAATTTGGAAGATACAAGAAAACTACTAGGAAGAAAACAAAAATCATCTGTATTCTCACTACCAAGAAATCACTACAGTTAATGACCTGATATACTGTATTTCCTTCTAGTCACTCTTCAGCTTCTTTTATAAAGATGGGACCATGCAATATGTATTCACTCCTTGTAACTTTCTTTTCTCACACTTAATTTTTTTATTTTTATTTTATGCCCATACCTCTCACCTCACAAAGCACAGGTGGCTGACTGGTTTCTCACCCTTTCCTCCTAGTTTGGGTTCCTGTGAGTGACAATATTAGTACGGTGATCCTACAAGTCGTGGACAAGCACAACAACTCAGTGGGCCTCTGTCAAGGAGCCAACGAGGACTGCAATGGCAGTGCCCTGTATTACCTGACTTACTCTAACAACACGTTCTTCAAGGCAAATTGTGTTCTTAACTCCGAGGACACAGCTGACAAGCTGCAGTAAGAACTTATCTGATTTTGCTTTGGACTTTAACATTTTTATTTTGGGTTTTACAGTTTTGCATTGACTGAAAAAGACTAAAACCACATTCTGGATGTGGTGTCATTTTGTACTGAAAGGGCAGGTCTGACCATCAGGTTGTGGCCACTGTCAACAGCCTAGTCTCAGGGCGTTATGCAATGGTGACACTGTCAAGCCATCCTGCCCTCTTCTGCCATGCTCTGGGCCTGGTCAGACTTAATTGGCTTTGGAGGAGGTACTAGTGTGCCCATGGAGTGAAATACAAGAGCAGAATCCAAAAGGAGCTGACAATGACAGTGGCTGCTTACAAACAAGCCATGGCTAATCACAATGAGGACTTTCCTTTCATCTCACCTCATTAAAACCTGTACTCTTCATGCAGGACAGATAAAATACCAAACACTGACAGCGTGCAAGAGAAACAGTGCAGTCCCATTGTTGATGTGGTTTCCTGACCCCTCCTAACTCACACACCTAGTGTCTCTGCTTGTTAACAACATGAACACTCATGGTCTTGATCAGCAAGGGGAGGGAGACACAGGAAGCAGGGGACTCCACTGCAGTGGGCACCATGCTGAGTAAGGTACAAACGGGATATGAAAAGGTCCCGACTTGGAATGAGGTTGGTAAGGCCCACACAGAAATAATTACTGAGGTGAAACATCACTTCCTCAGCATTCTCTGAACTCCAGATCAGGGACAGATGCTCTGTTAAACACTCTCATAACTTCCCCTACTTCATCAGAGCACCTATCATAACTGTGATCAATAACTTAACAAGCTAGTTGATCACTGACTTAAAACCTGCCTCTCTGAGGACAGTGTGAATGGGTAAGAACCAAGCCTGGTTCTTGTTTGCCATTATCCCTTCAGCACCAAGCATAATGATTGGCATATAGTGATCTTTCCTTAATCATATGTTAAATGTATAAACAAGGGACTGATATTATAATGGACCCTCTGACATAATAACAACAGACCAAGCTGTATGGGTCATTTAATGAACATTAAGCACCTATGATATATCAGACATCGTTGACAACAGAGATTGCACTCAAGAAGCTGGCCCTCCAGTAGGGCACAACAGCAATTCAATGCTGTACAGAGACCTGTCTGTGTTAATAACATTAGGGAAAAACAACTTCATAGAGATGGTTACCTGTGAGTCTCTGAGCAGATGTGACCAGGACAAGTGTTACAGACAGAGGGACTGGCTCAAGAAGAGGTGTGCCAGCCTGAGGGGATTTCAGGGTGGTGAAACTGGTGGGGATAGGAGGGTGGGTAGGGTGGTTTGGAGGTAAGATCATGGAGGATCTTAGTTAATCAATATAGAACACACCTATATTTAATGATGGGCCAATTGTGCTCCAGAGAAAGTAAGCACAAAGGGGATTAAGAGGGTGGGATGCTCCAGAAAAGCAGAAATGTGAGCACAACTTTTGAATTTCACAGATGAGGTCTTCATTGTATCTCTCATTGGTTTCCCCTCCACAGAGTCCTCCTTGTCAATGTCAACAACTCAGCTATTTTTATTTCAAGGAATCTAGGAAGAAAAGGTGAGTTCTTTTGTAGCCCATTTGAATATTTGTCAGTAAACTCAGCCTAAACAATGACTTTGTGAGCGCTCGAGAAAAAAGCATTTTCTTATCCTGCAACGCTCAGATATCAGTTGAATCTCCCAGTACCTTGGAACCCGCATAAAATTTTCCCAACCTCTTATCCCAATGCCCTGTAGGAAACAAAAGCCATCCCCAAGAGTTCTGCAAATTCCAAGACATTTTCATGGTCACCTGTCACTCCGTATGAGCTATTTCTAGTCAATATTACAGTCCTCCTGAGGTTCCACACTCATACAAATCCTTTATTGGATATAATAGACCTTATCCAAAAGGTTTTAAGGGAGATGAGGGTGAAGGGTGAGAAGTTGCAACAAAAAACAGGTTGACATCATAGAAATACCAATAATTTCATTAGTTCTTAAAGTGGCCTTTGGCCACCATGATTATCACCAGGAATTTTCTCTGGCTTTTCACAGGCTGTGGCCCCCAACTTCATACTCTCCTGAGGCTTCTCACCCTACTTTCCCCTTATCTATCCCCTTCTTTTTCTCTTACTTCCCTGTAAGGAGCTAAAACAAACTTCAAAAATGAGGTTCAGTAAGGTAGGCTCTTACCTAAGAACACTCAGCAAAATGAGGGCTCCAATTCCACATCTATACTTTTTCCCACTTTTCTTAGACTTATACTAAAACTAAAGAAATAATTTTTAATCAAGTTTTTACATACAAGATTTAACCAAGAACAAGAACTATTAGTCTTTTCTCAGAGTCCAGATAACAAGACTTCCTCATGAGCCCTAAACACTAAGAGACAACTAGCACACTGCCTATTTTACTGCCAGTCATGTGTTGCAAAATGTGCCCAAAGGGGATAATTATTTCCAACAATAAATTTTGAAGTGATTACACCTAAAGAAACTATTATGTGAAAGCATTAGCTGTTTCTTTGGTAGCTTTCAGTCTGAGAAGACTGGGATGTTATTTTCTTCCTCAAGGACATTTTCTTTTGAGATGAATACTTCCATAAAAGCTGAGGGAGGGGGTTCTAATCAGGACACCATAGCTCTATGGTAATAAAATCCAGTTACAAGAAAATGGCTGGGGTCCGGGATTTAGCTCAGTGCCTGCCTCGAAACTGCAAGGTCCTTGCCATAGGGAAATGCTAAATGAAATAAGACAGTGTTACCAAACTAGATGGCACCCTCCAGTTGTACAGAAGACTGCCTAAGCCCGGGTAAATCACTGGGTGCTCGCCTTCCTCCTTGTCCATGTGGTCCCTTCTAAGGTCCACTCAGACCCTTGAAGGTGTCATTGCCAAGCTTTAACGTTCTCAGGATCAGACACGCCCCCAGGACTATAGGCCTGGCTTTCTCTGTTTCTTTGCAAGATAACCTCAGAGAACCAACATCTAGTTAGGTCCCTGCACATGAAAGTGACCAGTTCCTCACAAACCAGAGAAAGATGTTGAGATTTGGACAGGGCGTCCTTCCACTAACTTTAAAGCAGAAATGACAGTCTTCAGGACTGGATAATGTTGAGTTCTTACAAGTCCTTGAAATTAGCAAGAACATAAAATTGTGCTATTCTGAATCAGACTTACACTAATTAATCTAATATTAAGGACCTGAAGACATTTGAGGGCAGACTATACCCAAGCCAAAAATAAATTCAGCACTTGTAAAAACTCAGCAGGTCTCCTCACCTCACATGATTGCACAGATCTTCAGGGTGTCTTTGTGTGACTTAACACTCTGTACCCCATACTGTCCCTGTCTTAGTTACTTTTCTCTTGTTGCTGAGACAAAATATCTGGCACCCAAAGTGAAAGGGGGAAAGGTTTATTTAGCTCAGTTTGTAGAGGTTTCAGTCCATAACTGGCTGGCTCCAAGGCAGAGTGGCTGCTTGGCAGAGGGGCATCACAGAATAGAACCAGTTCATGGCAAGCAGAAGACAGCAAAAGTAAGCAAGCAAGGGACCTTAAGAGCATCTTTCTGCCCCTTTCATCTTATCTGGGGTACTCAGGGCAGGTTGCACTCATACCCTTAATCCTAGTGCCCTTGAGCTGAGCATTGCACCATGAATCAATTCCAGCATCATAAACTCCTGATTCAGCCACCCCTGAAAAGGCCCACCTATGACCATGTGAGGCTTTGGGGGGACATCTAGACACAAGCCATAACAGTCCCCCTCCTCTGCATACACATGGCACTGGAGAGGTATTAGCTGAATTTCACTCTTGAACTGGCTCCAGCAATCTATCAGATTAGTTTCTTTTGCTAGTACTCACCCACCAACCAAAAGAGATTCTTTTTGTTTGTTTGTACCGGGGACCGAACTCAGGACCTTATGCTTGAAAGGCAGGCACGGTGCCCCTGAGCTAAATCCCTGGCCCACGAAAAGAGATTCTGACATTACTGCTTGTTTATTTGTTCCAGTGATAACTACAACCTCAACCACCCGGACTTCTACCAACAATCTGAACACAACCATGACTATCGCCACAGCTGTGACAGCCCAAACCATGAGCACAGCCCAGACCACAAGCACGGGCCAAACCAAGACCATGGCCCAAACCATGACCATGGCCCAAACCATGACCACAGCCCAAACCAAGACTACAGCCCAAACCAAGTCCATGGCCCAAACCAAGAACACAACCCAAAATTTGGCTGTGAGACCTTTCAGTAGCCCCATTGCAGGTGCCATTCACATCCTGCTCGTTTTTCTTGCCAGCAAGCTCCTCTTCTAAAGGAAAACAGGAAATCAATTGCTCAGCTTCCGGTGCAGCCTCTCATGCTCAGGCTCTAGGCTAGGGCTTTAAATGTAGGCGAATGAAGGCTTCAGTTGTGCAATTCCACTGCTACTATTTCAGAGCAAGGACTGGGGCACTTGCTGATGGGCATGGGTCACACCAATGTTCCACTGGACATAAATTATGCTTTTTAAATACTCAGACCTAGCCCAACTATAGCCCAGAATTCTGTCTCTGGGTTTAACAGCCAATCTGAACTTTGTTCATAGTCAAAGAATTCCTCCGTGCCTCCTAATTTTCTGGAGGAAGAATCTTTCCTTAACATTCAAGATGATCTAAGATTTCTGACCAAAACCCTTCTAGGGGACTGAAGGAGAAGGGAGAAATAGCTTTGAGACTACGGCAACTTCCCATCTTATCCTTAAGAGTAGATTCCAAAGGGCAAGAGGATAGGATGATCCCACGTCACCAATGTCAGGAAAAAATATGTTCTTTGTTCTAAGTCACACCAAATAAATGATACTTGAAACAAGAATGATTGTGCTAAATTCAAAGTTGAGTCCTTAATGAGTGATTAACTTACAATTCAGAGAATGTTATCAATTTTTTTTTGCGACAGCGTTTTGCTATGTAGTTCAGGCTGGACTACAAGCTTGCAATGATCTTCCTGCCTCAGCCTCCCAAGTGCTGGGATTACAGACAAGTGTGGGATTACCACACCTGGCTCAAATCATATTTCATTCATGTATTAAAAATTCATGGAATAATGTATGTGTGTATGTTTTCAAGGCCCAAGGGTAAATTTATCTCAATTTTCATTTTCCTCAAGTGCAAAACTGGTCACTTTCCCCTCTATAGTAATTTCCACTAAGGAATGGGCAAAATACTTATATTTATAATACAGTGTAAAACTAAAAGCATGGTGTTTCCAGTAATAAGCTTGTAATAAGTGACAAAGTTTTCTTTAACAATAAAACTAAATTCCAGGGTGCCAATATTTTCTGATCCCTAAAATTGTGCACTTTTTTAAAGTTCTGACCTGATCCTTCCTCTCACCCTTAGAACACCATCACGATATTCCACATGGCACCTTTTTGTTTGTAAGGGAAGAAAGCCTCCCATCAGCTGTTAGCCAGTTTATTCACATATGCTTGGCTTAACTGAGTTACTGTCATAGAGACAGGTTATCTGTGATTCTTTGCTAAGATCCAAAAAAGTCATTAATGTGAAGTACACAGCCAATTTTCTCCTCCAGTGTCAACCATCTTCTAACAGGAGGGCTGAGAAAAATGGCACACTCCCAGCTTCTTCAAGATACTGCTCATGAAGTTGACTCCACACTATCCCTGAGGCAGTAGCAACAACAGTCCCCTCAAAAGGCTGAGAAATTTTATGGGATGAGGAAAAGCCCATAAATACCCATCTGATCAACACTTATCTTACATTTCATTACCATTAATATTAAATACCATAAGGAGTATCCTAATTTTTATACTACAGAAGTCGTTGCTTTTGGCTGGTTTCTTATGTTGTGGTTTTGCAGTAGTAGGGATTGAACTCAGGGGCATTCTACCTAAGTTACATTTCCAACCCTTTTTATTTTGAGGCAGGGTCTTACTAAATTGCCCAAGCTGTCCTTGAACTTTCAATTTCCTGCCTCAGCTTCCTGAGTAGCTAACGTTCCTGCTTTTGTTAACATTTCCACCTTCCTCTTAGAAAAAGTATAAAAGGTATTTTACCACAATGTAATCATTCAAACAACACTTGTGTGCTTTAGAGAATAGCTATCCTCTACTGCTTCAGATTTACCCAGCAACAATATTTGTTGAGCAACTATTCCATGCCAGGTATTGTTCTGAGATTTTGAGCAAAGCACAGATCCCTTCCCTAGCGGATCCCCATCTCAAGATTCTCTCAAAATGTTACTGATCCTCAAACACTGTCTACATGCCAGTGCTCTTAAGTGCTTTCACATGTGCCATGTGTGAAATTCTCACAAAAATGCACTATCCTGAAAACTGCATGATTGTTCTCACATTTAAAGATAAGAAAACTGAAATTCAGAGAAATTACATAACTGGCTCAATCACAGAGCTAGTAAGAGGCAGGTCAGGAATACAGACCTGCTCTGAAGATTGTTTTCTCATTTTAACCACAATGTTCTGAGTTGGCCTTGACCTTAACCAGCTGAGTGATGTGAGATAACACATGCCCTGCTTCAATAAGTGAGTATATAATAGCAATGTCATTAATCATAGTAGTAACTACTCAACAAATGGTAGTCATTATTATAATGTGTCTCTTTGAGCTTATTCTTCTTAGAGTTTAAGTTTCTTGAATCTAGATATTGATGTATTTCATTTACTTTGATAAGATTTCAGCCATTATTTCTTTAAATAGTCTCTTAGCTCCTTTCTCTCCTCTCCTTCTGGAGCACCGTTTATATACATTTTGGTACACTTGATGGTAATCCACAGGTCTTTGTTTTGTTTTGTTTTTTTGGTACTGGGGATCAAATTCAGGACCTTGCACCTGCGAGACAAGTGGCAGAACCACTGAGCTAAGTCCCTGGCCCCCCACAGGTCTTTGAGACTCCATTTTTCTTCATTCTTTTTTCTTCCTGCCCCTCAGACTGGATAATTTCAATTGACCTGTCTTCAAGTTCACTGATTTTTTTATTAATTTTATTGGTACATTTTAGGTATATAATATAATGACATTCATCATTGGAAATTTGTACCTTTACATAATCTATCTTTGTTCTTATTTTTTCCCCTTCCCCTGCCCTCCCTTCAACCCCTCCATCCCTCCCTATTTACAAAGACTTTGTTTCCATTTTTTCATTTTCTCATATTAATTCCATTCCCTTCTTTCCTTTCCCCAATCCCTCCCACTTCCCCTTCGGACCTTTTATTCCTATTTCACAATATCTATTATGCCTTTTGATCCTTATTTATACTTTGTTTCTCACACCAAATAGTTTCACAGAGAAACTATTTGGTATTTACACGTGTGTCCTTTGGGTTCACTGATATTTTTGTCTGTTCAAACATGCTATTGAACCTGCTAACAAATTTTTAATTTTAGCTATTATGCTTTTCAGCTCCAAAATTTCTATTTGGTTTCTGGTTATAACCTCTCTTTATTAATATGCTCTGTTGTTCATACATCATTCTCCTGGCTTCTTTTAGTTCTTTAGCCAAGATTTCCTTTTGCTCTTGGATATACATACTTAAGACAGCTGACTTAATGTCTTTGCCTAGTAAACAAAATTAATGGGCTTGGGGGCAGTTTCTATCAATTTTTTTATTTGAATGAACCATACTCTTCTGTTATTTTGTATGCCTTATATTTTTTGTTTAAAAGTGGATGCTTATAGTGTGGTAACTCTAGAAATCTGATTCTCACACACATAACCAAGGTTTACTACTGATGTTGAAGGTTGCAGCTGTCCATTTGTTTAGTGACTTTTCTAAACTATTTTTGCAGTCTGCATTCCTTGTTGTGTGTGGTCACTTAAGTCTCTTTTCTGTTAGTATCAGCATTCAGACAATAATCTTATGGATTTTTTTAAATGGCAAAAATTAGCAGCTTGTTTTTTCATTAAGCATTGCCCTGGTAACTGTAAGTTCTTGTTATATTCCAGAGTTCTGAGAAAGTTGATTCTGACAGTTTTTGCCAGCTTAATAGTTGGCTTAAGGGCTCAGTACTTAGAGCTCCTTATTCCACAAATTTCTGTAACATCACTGGGTAGCTACTACTGTTACCTGCCAGACCTCTGCTAAGCACTGTACATGAATTATCTCCTTCAATCCTCATACCAACTTTATGAAATATGGCCATTTCACTGATGAGGACACTCAGCTAAGAAAGAGAAATAATTTCCTGGAGTCACTCAGTGAATAAGGAGTGAACCTGGGTTTTGAAAACTGGCCTATACAACTTCAGAGCCTAGTCCTGATCCAGGACACTCTGAAGGTTCCCGAGTAACTTCTGCATCACTGGGGATTACCTCAGAACAATTGGATCCCCAGGTCACATGACAAGGAGCAGGTGTGGGTTCCCCTGCTGACACAATAAACAGGCTGCATGCTCCAGCTGTGCTTCTCCAGGCCCCACTGCCTGCTGCCATCTCCAAGATAAACTGCATTGAGTCCTGACCCAACATGCTAGGAAAGAGTTTCGTATTTATCTTTCATGGCTCAACCTCGCCCTATTCTCAGTTTCAACGTGGAAGGTATGACAAATATTGACTTTGCTACAAGCTGGTGCCCCAGCAAAGATAGTTTTTGAAGATGGGAAATTCTTAAGAGTCAAAAAATCTGAGCAGAATTCAGACAAGCAGCATAGAGGCAGCTGGATAAGAACACTGGATTAGGGGCCCAGGATTTAGCTCAGTAGCTCCACTGCCTGTCTCACAAGAGCAAGGTCCCATGTTCGATCCCCAGTACCCAAAAAAAAGAGAACACTGGATTAGGAGACAGAAAATTTATTAAATTCTACTACTACCAAGTAGAACAGTTGAAATATATATGTGTATGTGTGTATGTATGACGTAAGTGGGAAAATATGCTAAAATATCTCCATATTCATGTATTCTTACATATATGACCACTTGAGTCCAACAAACTCAAGACCTTAGAAAAATTTCTGTGCCATATTCCACCTCAGTTTACTCATTGGTTAGATAAGGGCTGGCCCAGGTGTCTCAACTATTTTCCAGCTCTCAATATTGGTTTCTCTGTCATACCCAGCCCTAGTTCAAGAGTCTAGTCAGGGGTGCTAAGTAGGTGTTACCTTATGCCACATCGGACCAATAAATGAAAGCTGCTGGGAGCAATATTTGAGGATTCTGAAGCAAAACCTAGGCTCAGAATTAAGAGTACCACATTCCACTAGTGACATTTTCCTTGGACTCAGGAGGCAAGAATTGAAGCTGCACAGGTTTCAGATATTTACCATCCTTGGTGGTTCTTTAAGTCAATCCAATAAATAGTAAGCATAGTAGGAACCAGAATCAGAGTAAAGAGCTAAAATAATATGAACAGTCACAGTTCCTAGTCCTCATATTTGCAGTCTTCAGATCCTCATTAATTGGAAAGAGATATACACACACTGCAAATGCATATACACAAAGGCGAGGAAGCCCATGGGCTATACCGCCTACACAAGAAGAAAAGATAAATAGGCTATTTATCATGCCCACTCACTTCCTCAGCTTTTTCCACTTTAGTCTTTTGTTGTTTACAGTTTCATGCTTTATAAATTCATTATATTCTTATTGTTAGAGACAACTGCCTATCCACCCAAAGGAAGTTATCATTCATTCTGAGAAAGCAGAAAAGGAGATTGATGTCTTCCAAATCCTATCACCTCAAAGATCTTCACCCACCAGAGAGTCTCAAATCTGGTCAATGGCACAATTATTAAAGGGAGACTGAGTGGTAAGGGCAGCGTTTTAGGAAGAAGGACAGTAAATGCAAAGATTCTGAGGAGTGAAATTGATCTGCCTTAAAACCTGAGGAGAGGCCAGGGTGACCAAAATGTAGTGAAG